CTCAAGCAGCGACTCAAGGTCATAAAGTAAAAGAATTTTTGAGTGACAATGGGGGTGAGTTTGACAACGAAGAAGTTCGAAACATCCTGCGCAGCCATGGAATCACGCAAAGACTAACAGCATCATATACACCTCAACAAAATGGTGGTAGTGAACGTGAAAACAGAACAATAGTAGTAATGGCACGCACATTGAAGTACTCAAATCCAGATTTTGAATTTCCAGTCGCTATGTGGGCTGAGTTATGTTCAACTGCAGTATATTTACTTAATCGAACAGGCAAGTCGTCGATTGAAGATAAAAGCCCATTTGAAATTTGGACAGGTAAAAAGCCGAGAATTAACCATTTGAGAATAATTGGCTCTACATGTTTTGTTCACATACCTGATCAAAAACGTCAAAAAATGGATAAGAAAGCCATAAAAGGTTACCTTGTTGGTTACGATGGTGACGAACGCTATCGTATATGGCTCAAAAATCAATATAAAATGATATTCTCAAGAGATGTTGTTTTCCAAGAAAAACCTATGAAATGTACAACATCATTTGAACATCAGACTCAAAAAGATTTTACAACAGATCCTCAAATCAATTGCAAACCAGAAAATGACTCAAGTAGTAGAAATGATGATTCAAAAGAAGAAATTTCAGATGACACTAATGAAGATGTTCACAACCGTAGTTCAGTTTCATCTGATGAAGAAGATCAATCTGACTGTTGTAATCAAAAGACCAAAGGTATGGTTCTACGTGACAGGAATAATATCAAAAATCCATCTCGTTATGATCCTTTCGTTATGTCTGCATTAAGTGAAGTACTTGAACCAGAGAGCTACAAAGATGCCATTCAAAGTGATGAAAAAGATGAATGGTTTAAAGCCATGAACAGTGAAATGCAGTCATTAAAGGAAAATCAAACGTGGGATTTGGTAAGTCTTCCAAAAGGTCATAAGGCAATACCATGCAAATGGGTCTACAAGGTAAAACACAATCCAGATGGTTCTGTTGAACGTTTTAAAGCCAGGCTAGTGGTAAAAGGTTTTTCTCAGAAAAAGGGAATTGACTATGAAGAAACCTATAGTCCTGTGGTCAGAAGTTCAACTATAAGAACACTATTAAGTGTTGCTGCAAATGAAAAGATGTCACTCATGCAGTTTGATGTGTCAACAGCATTTCTATACAGCAAACTAGATGAAGATATTTACATGGAGCAACCTGAAGGTTTTAAAGATAATTCAGGAAGAGTCTGTAAACTCAAGCGAAGTCTCTATGGACTTAAACAAGCTCCAAGATGTTGGAACAAACGCTTTGCTGAATTCTTGAAAAAAAGACATTTCAAACAAAGCGATGCAGATACTTGTTTGTTCATTAGAATACAGGGAGGAAAGAAACTCATACTTGCACTGATGGACTAGTTGCAGGAACCGATAAAGAAGAACTAAAAATATTTGAAAAAGAATTAAAGTCTGAGTTCAAGATAACATCTAAACCTGCAAAATATTTCCTTGGATTAGAGATTAATCAAGATGAGAAGGGAAATATTAATGTCAGTCAGTCATCCTATACAAGAATGATTCTTGAAAAGTTTGGGATGAGTCAGTGTAAATCCTGTACAACTCCGATTTCAAAATCAGAGGAGTTCGATGAAAACAAAAATGAACATGAGGAAGTGAAATTTCCTTACAGATCAGCAGTTGGTGCATTGATGTACTTGATGACGGGAACAAGACCAGATATTGCATATGCAGTTGGAGTAGCATCCAGAAGTTTAGAGAAACCCAGCAAGTCCAGTGTAGCACAAGTTAAGCAAATTTTCAGATATTTGCAAGGCACAGCTGATGTCGGTATTGCTTACAAGTCTGGTCAAAACAATACTTTTATAGCCTACAGTGATGCAGATCATGGAGGAGATAAATCTAGTGGAAGATCGACATCAGGTGTAATCTGTATGTTTGGAGGAAGCGTGATCAGTTGGTTTAGCCAACGTCAGCCCTCAGTTGCGATTTCAACTACTGAAGCAGAAATCGTTGCCGCAAGTGAAGCAGCTCGTGAAGTGATATGGCTCAAACGATTGTTGAACGACATCGTAGATCTAAAGAAAAAACCAGAAATTTTTGTCGACAATGAAGCAGCAATTCGGTTAGCACACAATCCAGAACTTCACAGAAGAACAAAGCACATCCACATTAGACATTTCTTTGTCAGAGAAAAAGTTGCAGAAGAAGAAGTTTCAGTTGAACGAGTTGCGACAGAACTTCAAGTTGCTGATGCTCTGACAAAACCAATGGTAGGACCAAGACTAAAGAATCTGATGTGTGCGATGGGTCTTCAGAACATTTAGGTTAAGGTCATCTAATGTTTTAAATAAAATGAGAAGGTGTTAAGTTTTATGTTTTATATTAAAACATTATGATTTATAATATACATTTATTTTCTTTGGACCAAGTGTTCTTTGCTTTGTATGTAACTTCACTTTTACTTTTCTGTTGATCCGGTTGATAATAAACAAGTCGAGAACGTTGCAAAGTTTATTTCTTGTCTATTAATGTCTTTCAATATTGTATCAATTAATTAAGCGATCTACGTAATAAGAAATTTAACAGCTTTAAAGTGTTAACCAAAAGTTATTTAATCAATAAATTTTTCTAATTTTTCAAGATTGCAGAATATACGGAGCTACGTATATGTTTCCACGAAAAAATTCTTTCGCCGATCCAAATGGTATTTATATTTTCCAGTCACCATCATTTATGGCCGAATTTTCAAAAAATACATCATATATGTATGACACAAAGTTGATGAACCTGTACTTAGGCTTCGAGAACGTTCAATCATTTACTATAAATACGTTCAACTCATCGAATGTAAACACGTTCAATTCCGGAATTCTATATCCACTCAATGGCACGGTGGGTGAGCTATTGTAAATTCTAACTACAATGTTCCTCTGTTACAACTTAATAAAAAATTTAGCGCTAATTTATGATTTCTTGATTCGGATTCAAATATTAATTCCTATATAACTTTTTGCAAACTTATTTGTTTTATAATTTATATTTTTTTCTATTATTTTGATTATATAAAAATTGTAATAAATTTTAGGCGACAAAATCTACGAATAAATTTAGTTAAATTTGTACAAATAAAAAACTAATCATCAGATCAGTAAATGTGCTGGCGCATTTTTTTTTTAAATTGACAAAGTATAAACATTTTTATAACAAATATTTTACAATTTAAATACTTTTATAGACTAATCAGAAGCAATTCGTCACTAATCAGTACATCTTGATGGATGTTCTTAAAATTAATTTAACTCCCATCAACTCATCTCTGAACATCACCCTCAACATGACAATTGACATTAACATTTGTTGATTCACCTTTCAACAAGATAGATTTGTGTGTTATCTAAAGCACATTTCTGAAGACGGCTTATAACATTTGCTTAAACTTTTGTTACCTATATTAAACTGCTGAGTATTTGAATGCTCATTTTGAGATTTTGTTTCTGTTTTAATTTTATACTATCTGTTACTGGAATGACGCATGTGGGTATAAACATTTTCTTGTTGTGTGTCGAATTTGAATGAAATTTTAATCCTCTGCTATACTTTTATTCAATTAGAAAGCAATCTAAACTCATGCAATAAGCTCAGGCAATGTAAGAAAGTCAGCTGTGTGCATGTTTTTGACACAAGACATCAGCGCCTGTTTATGTAGCAACGAATCAAAATGTATTTGGATGAGGATAGCCCCCAATTTGCAACGTTGTCGCATTCATTCCAATTCAACTGCTGTTCACAGCTGTTTGAAAGCACTCGCACGATTACTGTATAACGTTTTGGTTATTTCGTTTTGGTTATTTCGTTTTGTTACCGTTGCTATTGTTGTTATTGATTTTGGGAGAAGTTGTTCAACATTCAAACAATGAAATAATCATAATAATACAATTTAATGATTTTTTTGTTATTTTAACTCTGATGTTGGAGCTGTTGATAGTTGCCTGTTTAACTTGCAAAAATCAAATTTATCATAAATTTATTCTAAAGATTTTAATACGCTAATTAAATGTTAGCAACGCAATAACAAACAATTATTTAGTAGACGTAAAATTTGTTAACATGAAATAAAAATTTCATCAACTGTATCTCAACTCTGGCTTAAATAATTATTGGGAGTGAAAATAATAGCAAAATTTTTTTAGCAATATGAAAAATAAAACTTATCTTGTCAAAATTTCATAAAATATTACTATATTTCTAGTAAGGAAAATTGAAAAGACAAACTTTAAATTGATTAATAATGCCAACAATTCGTTAGAACTCATACAATATATATATATATATAAAGTCATAAGTAAATAAAGAATTCAGATAAACACATTTTGGTCGATAGATAGAGCGTACGTCAGTATACAAAGGGTGAGAGTTAGGTGTTCATTCATAGTAATGTACCTTTGGTCGTGCTGAGAGATGGTGTACTTAATATACTCGTGTTGGTCAACCGTACAGGATATAGCGCTATACAATCATCTACTTATTTGTCAATTATTAATGCATTAACTAAATATTCCCTAACTTAAAAATCCAGTATGCATAAAACAAAATCTTCTTCAACATCATCGTTACCCGACGTTACAACTTTAACATACATGCACTCGAAATGACTGCTAAACAGTTGAATTTGTGAACAACGTGCATTCTTTTCAACCTCCTAACTACAGTTATTCTTTGTTAAAAGGTAACATGACAGTAGCACAGTAAACAAAAAAGGACTTTCTGATAGCTAGAGATACAACGGACTACTACGAATTTCAACCCGTTGTATCAATCGAGAAATTACGACCCTGACGATAGGGTCAGTACACTGGTCAAGTGCTGGTTTATATTGGTCAAGTATTTTCTTATTAAGAGTCAATTTTAAATTAGTTTATTTAATATTTTTCTATCTAGGGCATAGAGAAATCTTACATCACGAACGCGAGCTACCCTATGGAGCTTATAAGAACTAATTACACTCCTACAGACGAACTATCTATCATCACGATCAACATCTATAGTGTCAACACTACGAATAATAATTGTTGAACTATGGTTAATGAAATTATCTAATTTATTCTTTTCTTTTTTTTTATTCATTCATTTATTCATTCGAACATTCAACAGAGTTTCAAATATATACAACACTGTAGATATTTGATAACTTCAATAATTAGCAGAAACCAATTTAGTGATAACATTTGAAAGTATCACATTACAATTCAGAAAATATCCTTTCGAGTAATTCGAAACATTGCAGCACATCACTATTAAATTTCAAAACCTGGCTCAATAATTTCAATAAATAGGTAGTTGTTTAGTTATGTAGTAAAATGGTTAAGAAGCGAAGAGTAGGTTAAAGTGAGAGAGAAAGAAAAAGAAAGAGGGAGAGAGAGAGAAAAGCATTCAAAAGCAGCTAATTCGAAATCTCGCATGCGCGTCTGTGACAGAAGAACCCATTACACACATGCACACTTTGCGTTGCACTGCCCTGCATGCATGCATCAACGAGTTTGCTGTGAACTGTTGATAAACTTTGGTCAATATTGTCGGAATGGTGGTGGAAGTTTTGCGTAGGTTGAACAGCTGTTGAGAAAAAATCCGTGAAGATTTCTGGAATTAATTCATTCGCAAAACTTTTCTAAAATTTTCAGCCTCTTAAAAATCAGAAAATGACATTAGCAGAGCTGAAAAATTATTGCCTCATTTGATGTAAGCATCATCTTGATTTCATGCTTATCAAACAACAATAGTGAAACTGTTCAATACGACTACAACATCATCAGCAACAACAACTTCAACAACAACACTCCTGTCATGTTATAATGATGTTGTTTAATTTTACAACATACATACACATTAAGACCGGCAACTTCTGTAACATACGTGTTACATATTTACAAAAATTTAGTCTTAACAATACATTCACCGTCTTTACTACGGTAAAACAATGTTGGCTGTGTCTTTAAAATTTTCCATAACAGCAAAACTGAAGATTCTTTAAAGAATTGATGGAGTGAAAATATGTAAAATAAATGAATGAAAGAACGAGTGAATGAATGAATGAATGAATGTAGGAATGAATGAATGAATGAATGAATGAATGTAAGAACGAATGAATGAATGAATGTATTAATTAATGAATTGTAAAACTATGGATTTAATATACTTTTAAATAAACGAAGGAATGAGTGAGTGAGTGAGTGAGTGAGTGAGTGAGTGAGTGAGTGAGTGAGTGAATTAAGAAATGAACGAATGAATGAATAAATGAATGATTGAATAGATGACTGGATGACCGAAAGAATGGGTGAACGAATGAATTAAAGATATATTAAAAATTAGTACAAACACACAAACGCACGCAAACACAAACACACACACATATTTAACCTATAGAATATAGAAAGTTGATTATTCTAACTTAATTTTACGTGCAATTGGTAGGCTAACTGAAGATAATTTAGACGATAAGAATTTTCTTGAAAAGTTTTAATTTGTATAAAAATATCTCACAATTTTTTAGACAAAATCTTTATAAGAAAATTTCATCCCAGAGTGTAGCCATTGGATGAAAGCATGGCAATCCCGGCCGCTAGTACCTTAGTGTTGGTGATTGTCGGTGTGACCATCGGGTCAGCTGTCCTCGCTACCATCATCACCGTTAGCATATCCATTACAGCAAGTTAGTAATGTATGTCAATATCGATTGAATTAAACATAAGAATTGAGCCATAGTGGGTAGCCCTAAAAGTGTTAATGTTTGAACCAGGATGTGTTAAATTACATTACACATAAGAACTGAGTGCTAGGCCATTGAACAGCAAAAATGCTATAATTTCTAATAATTGTTTGTTTATTGTTTAAGCCAAATTTTTCAAATTATAAAAAAGAATTGTGTGCTTTTATTTGTACTTTTGAATTAAAAATAAAATGAATTAAATTATTAAAACATTTTTGCCGACTTTAACACTGCCAGAAAACCTTGCGACAACTAATGCAACCACAATAGCAGGTTAATGAGTCGTTTCATTTCAAAATGTTGATAAATGGAAAATAATTTTTTAAAAATTTTTCACTATTTTTACTAAAATTTTAAAAAATATATCGCTACAACAATTCTCACTATGAGATTTCAACTTTTTAAAAAATAAAAAATGATTGGCTTTTTTCAAAATCGTTTCTTATAAGCGATTATTTATTTCACAAAAATTAAATAAGGAATTATTCGTTATGAACTTAATTTATGAAAAATTTAGCGGCAGCTAATGCAACCACAGCAACTGGAGCAGTCACAGCAGCCACTGCAGCTACTGCTGCAGCTACCACAGCAACAACTGCTACAGCCACTACAGGTAAATTGATTCTAAAATAGTATACTTTTTAACGAAAGTGTTGAATTGGACTAGATTTGTTTAGACTCGTTAAAAAGAACTTTCCAAGAGATAATATCGAAATGCAATTAGCAGTATAGACAAGCAATCAATCATTTTCACAGTCTTAATTTATCATTCAAAAAACATTTTTGCTGCCTTAGAACGTTAAGAATTTAATTTTGCTCACATTTTTGCTCTACAATTTTCAAATGTTGAATAAATATATTACTAACTTACTTATTCAAATCCCAAACAACTTTTGTTAATTTCGCATCAAACTATTTTACAGCAACAACTGTGACCACGGCAACAACATCAACTACTACATCAGGTTATTCTATCAATTTAGTCGTTTTTGTTGACCCGTCCTACTTCCACAAAACACTGAATGCTCCAGTAGCAAAATCAAAACAAAAATGTTACATCAAATCTATGATCGATGTAAAAACCAAAAAATTCTCCTCTATCAAAAGTTTCCAAGCGTAGAAACCGTCAACTATCATGTTCTACGCGAGGTCTATTGTAAAGATTTACTTGCGATTCAAAGTTATCTTTTTGGTCTTCAGTACACAGGACGGTGTACAAATCATTTGATAATTCCAGTTGAACCCTCGTAAGACACCACTCACCCCGCACCCCATTCGCACAAAACGTTTGATGATGGCCTTTGAGTTCCGGGTAGACTGAAATCGAACCAGTTCATCGCGAGATAACAACGCGAGTCATGGGACTCCTACCGACTGAGCTAGCTTGCCTACCAGTTGGCTAGTAGCAACTTTATGTTCATTGATGATTCAAAAGTGGCAACGATTTCAACGCCGTTGGCGCTCTTGATTTTGAAAGCTGGCAAGAAGGTTTCAATAACTTGGCTATCGCCTAATTCGCTTGCTCCATGTTTAAAAATTGTAATCTGAAATAATTTAAGTTAATAAATTGTAATTACCCGATATCATTAAAATTAATTTCACAGCAACGGCAACAAGTTCGACTACTACGTAAATATGCCTCCTATTGCGATCAAAAGCATGTGTTAACGCTGCTATCATGCCAGGCTAACTTCTTGGCTGTTCGCTTTCACTTATTCATCCATTTATTTTCTTTTATTTTTATTTTAAAATCTATTAATATTAATTTCACATCATTTCCAATTATTTTACATTTCATTTAAAGAGTATAAACATTGGTAAATAGATACCGATAACTTACTATGTTTGGAGATTTAAATCAAAATTTGTATGTATGAAATTAAACTAATTTTGAAAGAATGAAACGTATGCCTATATATTAATTAACAGAAGCGTAGCTATAGCCAAAACAACAAAAAATTTAGCAAAATTGATCGAAATGTTCATATGAATTTGTAAAAACTTGAAAGTATTTTACCCTAAATAATAACTAAACTTATCTTACAATAATAAAACTTATTTTCTTGATTCAAACTTCAATACACATATTTATAAACACAAGATCGTGAGAATTTATATCAAAGTTGTAGAATTGAAAATTGTATTTCCTTGTTTGTGAATGTTTGTACGCATACAACGGCGTATTCACATATTTAAACAGTATTTGTGATTGAAAAATAAAAATCAAAAAACGCATCAGTTCAGTATTTATAAAATGAAAACTAATAGGTAGAATAACTTCTTTTGGTTAGGTAAAGGTTAAAACAATCTCGAACATCTCCAGTTTGACTTACCTCATTTCGTTGAAGTAATGCTGGTCAAATTGGCGCTACATAATTCAACCGACGTCATCGCATCACGTGATTTGAAAACAGACAGAGACGCGCGCAAATTGTAGAAGTATTTATTGTAATTAAATAGAGACTACTTGATCAATTTATTACAAATACTAATAAAAGGAAGGTGGGACAGAAAATTTCTCACCCAGAATTAAATTTTATTAACGACCTTTCAACTTGCTCCGCAAACGAGTTCAATAATGATAATAATTATAACAATATCAATAAAAGAAAACAATAATAACAAAAACAATAACAAAAACAAAAAGAATAACAATAACAAAAACAATAACAAAAACAAAAACAAAAAGAATAACAATAACAATAATAATAATAATAACGATGGTATAAACATTATTATTATTATTATTATTATTATTATTATTTTATTAATATTAAATAAACAACAGTAAAATCGTTCAGAACAACGATAACAACAATAACAATAAATTTAATAATAATAATAATAGGACAATTATGTATAAGCAATGATTTGATTAACGAAATACAATTGAAATAGCCCGCTAAAAATTTGTATAAAAAACTAATTAATTATTCATTTAATTAATTAATTAATTAATTAATTAAACGACGAAAGAAATAATAATGATGAAGCAAATAAAACATGATTTAATAACAAAGATTGAAAAAAAAATCAATTAAAAAATTAATAATTAATTACTTAATTAATTAGTAACCGTAAAAACTCTCGCACTAACACACGCACACACACACACACACACACACACACACACACACACACACACACACACATACAAACGTACCAAAATCAAATTTCATCATAAAAAATATTTTATATAACTGTCTTAAAATGATTTTATAAATTTATTTACAGAGATAAAATCACCTCAAAAATGACGCAAGACGAAAATTTATGAAATTGTTTCGTGTCTTCGTTACTCAAAAACTAGTAAAAAAAAATACATAATTCGTAATAGAAGGAGTATTGTAGCAGTAGTATTTTAGTGACATCTAGTATTATAATGGAATCATAGTATCATATCCTAGAAGTAGAGTATCTAATGATAGTAGAGAGTATCTAATGATAGTATTGTAATTGTGAAAGTGAAAAAATACTAAATGGAGTATATCTTCTTGTTGTTGACTTGTATACTGTTAAAGTTTTCAGACAAAAAAAGGTTGAAAGGTAAAACGGGGAAGAAAAATAAAAAAAAAATAGATCATTTTTATGTGGCGTTAAATGCCCACACACACACGACCACACACGTACACACGACCACACACATACACACGACCACACACACATACACACGCAGATACAAAAAGTACACCAACACATACATGTAGATATACCCACATATAAACACACATTCATGTATAGAAATGAGTATAAGTATAACGCGCACACACAAACAAACACAAAAAACACACAAAACAAATAAACTCACAAATTCCGAAAACAACGACAAAGTCAATAGGCAAAATAAAATTTGAAACCAAAATAAACTTACCAATTTAATAATTAAATTAATATAAGTTAAAAAAAAACAATTGATCAATTAGTCAAGCAATTGATCAGTCAATTGACTAACTAATTAATTAATTTATTAATCAATTATTAAATTAAATAAAAATTAAAATGACTTATCCAAAAAAAATTAAATTAAAATTAAAATGACTTATCCAAAAAAAATGACTTTGCATCCTGATTTGCAGACAGGTTGCAGGCAAATGTTATAATGGGAAGATAAATCTAATGCAATGATTTTCCATCTCAACTATATATCTATGATCACAATATATTTTACACACACACACACCACACACACACACCACACCACACACACACATACATTCATATATGAATATTAATCGAAGTATATGAAAATATACACATCTATATATTATTATATATGTTAGTTATATATATATATTATATATACATATGTATATAGATATATGTGAGTGTGTGTATTAGTATTTATGTGTTTGTTGTGTGTGTGTTAGTTTGTGTGTGTTTTTTTTGTTTGTCTGTGTGTGTTTGTCTGTATCTGTGTTTGTTTGTGTCTGTGATTGTTTGTGTTTGTGTGTATCTCTGTTTGTGTATGTGAGTGTGTGTGCGTGTGAGGAGATTTTATATGGAGTTATTGTTATTACTGACAATGCAGACTTAACAAAAAATTTCGGAAAAATCGTAATAATAATAATAACAATAATAATAATAACAATAATAATAATAACAATAATAATAATAATAACAATAATAATAATAATAATAATAATAATTTTCATTAATATTATTATAATATAAAACAAACATAATAAAAATGCGCACGGGTCGATAAGTTAGTTGACAACCTTGTATGCATACCATAATTCGATTTATTAAAAAATAAAAAATCTATATATATATATTTATATATATATACAAATGTACATATAAATAAATAAATATATATATATATATATACATATATGTGCGATAGACTATACAACACACACACAATAGCACAAGCAACAGACAAACAACAAAAATATCACTATGTCCAAATGTGATGTGTGTGTATATATATATATATATATATATATATATATATATATATATATATATATATATATTTCCAATACAGAAATGATTAGATAGATATAGATAGACATGATGATGCAATACTTTTCGAAATGCTTTTAATTTCACATGATACTAAATTGAATAAGTATTATTTTTATACTGTGGGTATCTTAACGAGTATCAAGTAATATAATGATAATAATGATAAGAAGAAGGAGAAGGAGAAGAAGAAGGAGAAGAAGAAGAAGAGAAAGAAAAAAGACCTTTAAATATCGGTAGAAATTCGCATACCAACTAATAAAAAAAATTTTTTATTTAACTAAACATCATGTTTAATTTGGTTCTCTAGCAGCGGCTTAATTATGTGTGAGTATGTGTGTGTGTGTGTGTGTACACGTGCATGTGTGTGTGTACACGTGCATGTGTGTATGTGTGTTTATTTACAGATAGATTGCACGCGATAAGCATTGAAAAAATGAGTATAAATAAAAGCATGATGGAAAAAATAGTGGATGAATCATATATATAAGGATATTGTGTTTATCTTTGAAGATATTAATTATTTAATGAGGAAATTGATGAACGAATAATTGAATGAATGAATGAATGAATGAATGAATGAATGAATGAATGAATGAATGAATGAATGAATGAATGAACGAATGAGTGACAAAAAAAAACAAGCAGAAAAAATAAATAATAATTGGTATGGAGAAATGGATGAATGTACGAACGAGAGAACGTATAAACAAATAAATGAAGGAACGAACGAATGAATAAATGACAGAATGAATGAATGAATAAATGAATATATGAATGACAGATCGGAATGATGTAACCAACATACGCATACACACATGCACACATATAAACAAACACACACACACAAATAAAGTTCACATTGTAGCAGAAACAAACTCATTAAACAAAAACGAAAGTACAGTAACAATAGCAATAATAAAAATTAACAACAACAACAACAATAATAATAATAATAATAATATTGATAATAATAATGATAATAATAATAAATAATAATAATAACAATAACGAGATGCTGTCAAAAGTAAAAGAGCAATAAATAAATATATAAATGTATGAATGGATGAATGAATGAATGAATGAATGAATGAGTGAATGAATGAATGAATGAGTGAATGAATGAATGAATGAATGAATGAATGAATGAAT